TCACCTCAGCCTCCCAAAGGCACGGGATTACAGGCTGAGCCACCGAGCCTGGCTCCGGCTGCAGAGTGCCAGCTGTAAAGTTTCTAATACTCCCTGTGCCTCTGGGGAGGGGCGGGCTGTATTGTCCCTGGGTTTCTCTGCTGCAGCCATGTCAGGGCAGGGCAGTTTGGCGAAGGAAAGTCAGGCTCTCCTCACTTCTGGTCAGGCCTTGGGGTCCCTGTGTCCCGCCCCCAGGTGGGCAGAGCAGAAGCCCCTGCTATCAGTGGGCTGTGGGCTGTGGTTGGGGCCGGGCCGAGGCTGACGGTCCTCCCACCTCAACCTCCCGAGTAGCTAGGGCTACATGTGCCCACCATTATGCCCAGCTACCATTTCGCATTTTTTTTTTGAGTTGGAGTCCCCCTCCATCACCCAGGCTGAAGTGCAGTGGCACAGTCACAGCTCACTGCAACCTCAAGCTCCTGGGCTCAGGCAATCCTTCTATCTCAGCCTCCCGAGTAGCTGGGACTACGGGCTTACCACCATGCTTGGCTAATTTTTTAATTTTTTTTTTTTTTTTTTTTTTTTAGTTGGAGACTCATTCCATCACCCAGGCTGGAGGGAGGTGGCACACTCATGGCCACTGCAGCCTCAACCTGCTGGGCTCCAGCAATCCTTCTGCCTCAGCCTTCTAAGTAGTCAGAACTACAGGCACATGCTAGTACACCTGGCTAATTTTAATTATTTTTTTTCTTTTTTTTTTTTTTGAGTTGGAGTCTCACTCTGTCGCCCAGACTGGAGTGCAGTGGCCGCTCCCGGCCACCGCAGCCTCGACCTGCTGGGCTCCGGTGATCCTTCCGCCTCAGCCTTCCAAGTAGCTGGAACTACCACACCCGGCTAATTTTTTGATTTTTATTGTAGAGATGAGATCTCGCCAAGTTGCCCAGGCGGGTCTCGAACCCACGGGCTCAGGCAATCCACTCACCTCAGCCTCCCAAAGGTGCGGGATTACAGGCTGAGCCACCGAGCCCGGCTTAATTTTAATTTTTTTGGTTTGTCTCACCATGTTGCCCAGGCTGGAGTGCAGTGGCAGCATCATGGCTCACCGCAGCCTTGACCTCCTGGGCTCAGGCAACCCTTCCGCCTCAGCTCCCGGGTAGCTGGGACTACAGGCGTCCGCCACCATGCCTAGCTAATTTTTTTTTTACTTGTAGAGACGAAGTCTCCCCAATTTGCTCGGGCTGTTCCTATGGTGCATTTCTACTTTTTGTGGAGATAGGGTCTTGCTAGTCACCCAGGGCCGGGGCTGAGCGGGGCGGCAGGGGAGGGAGCCAGCGGCGCACTCACCACGTGGTCTTCTCCTTGGAAAACTTGATGCCCGGCACGCGGCCCATGCGCCTGACCATCAAGTGCAGGCGGCTGCTGCCCGTCAAGACCCGCACTGCGCTGCTCATGGTGGTGCTCTCCAGACTCAGCCCGTTCACCTCGGTGATCTTGTCGCCCACGCACAGGCCAGCCCGCTCTGCAGCGGGGAGGGTGGCACGGGGTGGGGTGGGGACAGGGGCCCAGCCTCCCCTGCCGACGGGGTTCCCCGGGGTGAGACGGCGCTTCCTGGATCCCGTGGGGGTCCTGGGAGCAGGGGCTGAACGTTCCCAGGGCCCCCAGAGCAGAGGGCCTTCCCAGCCCAGGGGCCGCCTCTCGGGGCTCACCCGCGCTGCTCCCCTCCTCCACTTTGCTGACAAAGATGCCCAGGCCGTGCTCCGCGCCACCCCGCACGCTGAAGCCCAGCCGCCCTGCCGGGCTCTTCGCCACCCGGACTGCATGGATGATGTCACTTTCATCGCTGCTGGCTGTGGGGCGGGGCGGAGGTGGGACCCCGCGTTCATTCTGGGCACCGAGGACCCCCTGGGGTTTCCTGCCGGGGCCTGCAGAAGCTGGGTTTCTGGGCATGTCACACGGGCACCTAGGGCCCTGAGTGGATGCAGGACAGCCTGCTTCCTCTTTTTTTTTTTTAAGTCGGGGTCTCACTCTGTCACCCAGGCTGGTGTGCAGTGACATGATCATGGCTCACGGCAGTCTCAACCTCCTGGGCTCAGGCCATCCTTCCACCTCAGCCCCCTGAGTCGCTGGGACTATAGACTCATGCCACCACACCTGGATAATTTTTGTTTTAATTCTTTGTAGAGACGAGGTCTTGCTATGTTGCCCAGGCTGGTCTCAAGAGGTCCTCCTGCCTCAGCCTCCCAAGGTGCCGGGGTTACAGGCGCGAGCCACAGTACCTGACTGAGACCGCCAATTTCTAAGTCCCCGCTGGGTGACTTGGAGACCAGAGGTCAGGGAGGGTTTGGGCAGGACAGGGCTCCATGCTAGGAGACGGTCTCCTTCTCTCCTGAGACGGGAATGTACCAAGGCATACTGAGCTCCGTGGCCCGCAGGCCTGAGGTAAGCCAATTCCTAAAAATCCTCCACTCTGAAGGCTCAAGACTTCCTCCTACGGGACCCAGTTGAGGGAGTCTGGGCTGTTTAGCTTGCAGCAGCGGTGAGTATATCAGCTCTGTCTTCAAAGAGCTGTGGAGGTCTCCCTTGGGAGGCACTAGGTGTCCTTGTCTGAGTAACCCACAGAGCAGAACCAAACCCACATGGTGGAATCAGAGGCAGATTTTGTGAGGAAAAGCTTTCTATTTTTTGAGTTAGAGTCTCACTCTGTCGCCCAGACTGGAGTGCAGCGGCCACTCCCGGCCACCGCAGCCTCGACCTGCTGGGCTCTGACGATCCTTCCACCTCAGCCTTCTGAGTAGCTGGAACTATAGGCACGTGCTGCCACGCCCAGCTAATTTTTGATTTATTGTAGAGATGAGGGCTTGTCAAGTTGCCCAGGCGGGTCTTGAACCCGTGGGCCAGGCAATCCACTCACCCCAGCCTCCCAAAGGCGCAGGATTACAGGCTGAGCCACCAAGCCTGGCTAGGAAAAGCTTTCTAAAGCACTCAGCGGTCAGACAGTGCAATGGGTTTTCTGGGACAGACAGTGAGCTTCCCATCTTTGGAGGCATGCAAGCTGAGACCTGGTAGTTACCCATCTGGGATGTTATGGAAATTCAAGGCCTTGGGAACTACCTGGTTCCCTGGGGAGAGAAACCCCAAACAAGCCCATGTGTGCCTGGAGGGGCTCTCTCCGTCAGCACTGGAGAGGTGGGGGGGGTCCCTTGTTGGAGCTTCAGGGAGGGTTTTCTAGAGGACTCAGATGGGTAGGGTTTGGTGGGGGGAGGGACAGGGGATGGGGGCTGCGGGTCCCCGAGGCCTTCTGGTTAGAGGAAAGCAAGAAGAGCCAGAAGGCGGGTGTAAATTGAGTCCCAGGCGAGAAATTGAGATTTCTTCCTCTCAGGCAAGGGTTACACTAGAGGCGTCTGAGAGAAAAATCACACAAGCGCACGCGCACACATCTCAGTTTGATCCCGGAGAAGTCGGGTTACAGGGCACAGCCGGGCAGCTGGGAGAGAAATCCCCAAGGACGGCCATGGGCAGGGACCGGCAGGACAGACGGGGGACCCGGGGCTTCCCAGCCGACTCCAGTTACAGCTCAGGCCTTTCAGCCTCGGCCAAGGAGGCTTCTGCTCCCTCACCCCAATCCCCTCTCTCCCAGGCCCTCCCGGGGGCCTCCCTAGGGCCCCGGGCCAGGGGACGGCCAATCCGAGGGTTTGAGCCTGAGTCCTGGGAGGATGGAAACTTCTCTGCCTCCCTGCCCTGCCCAGACTGGCCTTCCTCCAGCACTCCAGGGCCATCTCCTTCCTACCCTCGCCCGCCTGCCTGCCCCCACTCCCAGTTTGGGGTTTTTCTTTTTGAGACAGGGTCTCACTCCGTTGCCCAGGCTGGAGTGCAGTGATGCAGTCATAGTTCACTGCAGCCTCGAACGCCTGGGCTCAAGCGATCCTCCTACCTTGGCCTCCTGAGTAGCTGGGACTACAGGTGTGTGCCACCACACTCAGCTAATTAAAAACAACCTTTTGTTTTGTAGACAGGGTCTCACTCTGTCACCCAGGCTGGAGTGCAGTGGTGTGATCGTAGCTCACTGCAGCCTCGAACACCTGGGCTCAAGCAGTCCTCCCACCTTGGCCTCCCAAAGTGCTAGGAATACAGGCACATACCGCCACATCCAGCCTGCTGTATTCATTCCCTACACAGTAGCCACAGTTGATTTTTTTTTCTTTTTTTTTTGAGTAGGAATCTCTTTCTGTTGCCCAGGCTGGAGTGTAGTGTCACGCTCATGGCCACCGCAGCCTCGACCTGCTCGACTCAGGTGATCCTTCCCCCTCAGCCTTCCAAGTAGCAGGAACCACAGGTGCATGCCATCATGCCCGGCTCATTTTTTGATTTACTGTAGAGACGACGTCTCGCTGTGTTGCCCAGGCAGGTCTCGAACCCCTGAACTCAAGCAATCCTCTCACCTCTACTTCCTTAAGTGCTGGGGTAACAGGCATGAGCCACCGCGCCCAGTTCACAGTTGACTTTTTTTTTTTTTTT